ATAGTTTCTGACAAATTAATTAATCATTCCAGCTTTTTTTATTTTTAAATGAAAAAATTTAAAAAAAAAATCTATCTTTAACAGAACAAAAATTTAAAAAATAGCAGGTTATGTGCCAAATTTTTGCATTTGTACTAAAGCAAAGTAATCGGGGCCACCCTTCAATAGTAACTAATCGTCTGAATTATCAAGCCGCTACTGTATTCACATGCGAGTTCATTATTTGCGCAACTTATGTATGTACGAACAAAAGTTTTGCGACCGATTGCTTGATTTGCTGTCGCAAAACAAAAAGAAAATTATCTTTACTTTATTTGAATGTTAATTTTTCATATTTCGCTACTCGCTCTTTATTTTTGTTTGCGCACAAAGTATGTACAAGCAAATTATGTATGTATGTATACTTAAACATATGTATGTATGTTCATAAATATATGCATTATTTTTATACGATATTTGCGGCAGCGGTCGCCATACGATAAGCGGAAAGCCGGCAAATAAAATTCAACAAAAATTAAATTTAGTACAGCCAACTTTAGATTTGGCCAACTCTTCACATCTGAAGCGATTATTTTTTTATTTTATTTTTTTCTAATGGGGTATTCCATGAGTAAGTGAAACTTTGTGTCCAATTGTAGAGTAGCTTATTGAACATGGNTGCGGCAGCGGTCGCCATACGATAAGCGGAAAGCCGGCAAATAAAATTCAACAAAAATTAAATTTAGTACAGCCAGTTGATTTGGCCAACTCTTCACATCTGAAGCGATTATTTTTTTATTTTATTTTTTTCTAATGCACTTTCATTTGCTTATGCATACATACGTTTTTTCTTGGCATTCGCAGCATGTTACTCGTAAGTGCTCTCTTTTAGCTACATACATACATATGTACCCAGTGAGAAAAGATAATGGTTGGGAATGCATACAGTAATGGATAGTACGAATTTCTCTACAATGTTGTCAAACGAAAGTAATGTGTTGCATGTCGTTTTATAAAACTACAAAAATAATCTATGAATGGAACTTATAAAAAAGAGTCCGTGCCACAGGGTTTGAACCCATGACCAACAAAATTTGTAGTCGAAGGCGCATTTATTCGGCTGCAGCAGCTGTTGAGATAACGTGAAAAATACATAACTACTTACATACGTAAGTTCTCAAACTATTTGTTTTTGTTTGTGGCTTCAAAACTACACATTATCCGCTCGCTTGCAATGCGTTGCATCTCTTCGTTTAATCGTAGTTTTTGATCTTTTCTTGGTAGAAAAAGTTAATGCGCTCCCATTTTCCCACTGGGTACGTACACTCAATCCCCAATCAAATGTTTATCGCTGCTGTATTATACTCGCATAAACGCACATGGCAGACCGAACGTCTGTCTGTATGTACATACACATATGCTGATGTTGCTGTTGTTGGTTTTTTTATTATCTGCTTTTTAGTCGATTTTGTATGTTATTTGTTTGTTTTTCGTGTTTGTGTAACGAAAAACGCTGACCTGGCGATAAGCTTCCAATAGCCGTGATCGTCTAGTGGTTAGGACCCTACGTTGTGGCCGTAGTAACCCAGGTTCGAATCCTGGTCACGGCAATGCTCTCCCAAGTGGGGCATTGTCACGGATGGAAGCGTTTTTTTTTTTTCTTTTTTTCATACGTGTGTGATTACATATAAAATTTATTTGTGTGATATTTATGAGGCGCAAATAGCAGGAAGGTTACCAATTCGTCGGAATATTTTTTTTTTCTATGTATGTATCGGATAACTCTAGAACACGTGAAACATTTTTTATAATTTTTTCTTTTTGAAAAAGTGTAATCCCATACTAATTTGGTTAATTTCCGATCATTGGATCAATAAGAATTCTAGATTAAGAGCGGACGGTTGTTTGAATTACTTATGTTTTCTTTTCATTAAGCACATAATATCCTCTGAAATGCAAAAAGCTGTAACTAGCAAAAAATATTTCGCATAAATCACTTATGGACTTAACTGAAATACATCAATTTGCTTTTTGCTAGTTACGGCCTTTTGCATTTCAGGTGTGTAATTAGTCGAAAGTTAATTATATTATTTTCTCATTTTATTGCACAAGGTCGGTTTCTCGTGTTTATACGAAACTTTAAAATAAAAAACGGCCAAGCGATAACAAAGTTATTTAAGAGGTTTTTATAAAAAAAAAACGCCAAGAGGCCACCATTTCTATCTTGTATCAAGCCCTAACCGCGAAAAAGGCCACAAAATGTTCGAATTTCTGTTTTTGACAGAAATCGATTACTTACCACCATACGCACCAGCTGTCAAAATTTCAAAACCCTACAAAGTTGCGTCACAAAGCTATAGCGAAAGCAATTTTGGCTTAAGTGCTTAATTGTACTCTGTTTACATTTTTTTGGGCACGCAGTGTCGGTTAAGCCTTTTTCTCCGTGAAACATTTTTTACTGCATAAAGGGAATTGTTACATTTTTGTGTGAAAGTTTTGAAGTGCCTCTATTTCTTTTACTATTACCTCCCTTTTATTAGCTCGGATGTAACTATGTAATATTGATGCGCCTAAAAGATGCAGCGATTTCTCTTCTCAAGTTACATACCTGTAGTAAGTTTCATGTTACAGTAAATAGTTTTCGATTTACGACGTTAATTATTATAATAGCGAGGTTTTAGTTTTTTTAGCTATAATTATATCGTCCCCTCAATATAACAATAGCGTATAATTTTTTTTGGGTTTTGAGAAAATCGAGTTTAAAGTTTTTGTTTTTTTTTTGTTTGAAGGAAATTTTTGAACAAGAAATTATACACCATTTTTTCCAATGACATTTTGACCCACTTTGTGGAAGTAGAATTTGACGAAATTTTGACCAGACATAGAATCAATGATGGAGATTCTAAATATGCAATAAAAAAATAATGGCGTATGAGCACATACGCTATTGTTATATTGAGGGGACGATATCTTCCAACAAAGGTAAATACATATATTTGTGGTAGATTAAGATTTTTAATCAAAAGGATTAAAATATAATGCATGTATGTATATGGTGTTAAAATAAATTGGTTATCGCAAAGCTTAACTAAAGGCTTACTCGTCTCATACAGCGACACAGATTTTATGAAGAGTTATTGGTAGAGGAAATTTTGTTGTCAGTGTTTGTATTGTTCAAATCTAAGCGGTACGGCAGCGGCAGCAAATTAGAAAATAAGAACAAAAATGATTAAGTCGCGTCATTTGGACGAAAATATTTGAATTTATGGAAAACAGAATAAATTCGACCGCCGAGCAAGAAACATTAATTTTTATTAATTTGAATTAGCATAAAATTGTGTATGCATCAAAGTCCATTAAATCCTCTAATAAAAAATTTGGTGCTTTTTTCGATGAAACGCACCTTTTCTTGGGTTTTAATGCTTTTTCAAATTCAAAACATGGCAACACTGATAACCACTTAAGTGCATAGTGGTGGTGACAAATTGGTTTCACTACCACTATGCACTTAGTGGAAATGCATTTCACTATTACTATATAGTTAGTGGCTATAAATGTTTGAACAAACCTGTTGTAAAGAAATGGGTATTAAAATCATAGATCGAAAACTTATCCTAAATTTGTAAACTAGTGTAATTAGTCAATGATAGTGAAATTTTCATTCCTTTACAGCTAACAAGATAGTGATACTGAAAATTCTATTTAATTATTACTATATAGTGCTATTGAAATTTGAAATGCACTTTGATTAAACATAGTGGTAGTGAAATTTGAGATGCGCTACTACTAACCACATAGTGGTAGTGAAATTTGAAATGTACTACCACTAGCCATATAGTGACTAAAGCCCTAGTGGTAGTGAAAATTTCGTTTTAGTGCAATTTGCCCAACCCTGATAATAGTTAGATTTTCATCACATTTTAAAATAAAAATACATCAACCATGCGTTTTTTCTTAGCGGCGTTCATTGTTATTTATTTTTTTTATAACAATTTTGTGAAATTTATTATGGGCAGCAGTCTACCGGATATCCGAAACCGGCTCTTATTTTTACATGTTATCCGGAATCCGGTTATCCAGAAAAATCTTTATCTGGCACATCCCTACTTATAAATAAATATTTTTTGATCGAATAATAATATTTCTCTTCATAAGTCTTCAGAAAATAACACTACGATGCTTATTTAACTTAAAAATTTTACTAAGTGTGTTTTAATAAACGCTAAACCACTGTTTTTAAACTAATTTTTAACGGAAATAAAACGTGAATTTTATGTTGCATATATTTTAATTTTGACTTCGGCGCCACCTAGCGGCCCAATATTAACAAAAGAAGTAATTTTTGAGCAAAAAAACAAAACTGACTTAAATTCTTATATTCATGATCCAATGATCGGATCTGAGCCAGATTAGTATGGGACCACCTCTGAGACACTACCATTCCGATGCAAAAATAATCGAAATCGGTTGACGTGGTCCAAACTTATACGGTAACGTACTCCTTTTTTGGAAGTCGGTTAAAAAAAGCCTTCAGTGGAAATTTTATTCCTCCCAATTTCTACAGAGCTATTTAAAAGATTAATGTGACCTGTTTCTTGACTGCTTTAAGGTATAAATTTAGTCTGACATTATGGTCGATTTGAGGGTTTCATTTTTCCTGCCTGCTATGTAGCGCCACAAAACAGCGCTTCCGTGCAGTTTTTGCTGAGGCATTCGTTTGTTATGCCTCGCTGATTGGCGATCTTAATTACCGCATCGATTTCAATCGGTTAACTTCATCGAGTTGACGCAGGCAAAGTGTTGAAAAACAAAATGTAAATAACATTAAATAAGTATGTGCACACATGTAAATATGTTTTCTGCTAATTTGCTGTTTTTCGAAATTGTCCTTCAAATATGTGGCACGTCAAGGGAGGCCTTTGCCTATATAAAGCGCCTATTCAGTTCAACCTTTAAACAGTGCCAATCGCGCGCGTTGTCGCGCAAGCTAAAGTCATTTCAAACGCAAACTAATCGCGAAAATGCTTTTAGATAATATGACAGTACTAAGCACTCCTTTCTTCGATGATATGCCACGCGCCTTTCTTCTCGATAATGACAATCTTAGCGATTCTACAGCACTCTTTGGACCGTATGCCCAAATCATATGGAATTTCGCCGACAAGCATCAAATGCAACTCGCTTGGAATCGTGATCTGATCGAAATCAACTCCGAGATACTGCAGCGCATAGATTGTGGCGAGTATAATTTATCGATGAACGGCGCGACGATAGTGAAGCCTATCCCGCCAAATGTACAATTCAGCTATCCCTTATATTGGACAAAAAGTTGTATAATGATACCGTTGGAGGATGAATTGCCCAAGTATTGGTATATTATTTGGCCATTTGGTCGCTATATCTACATGTGTATACTGTTCGGCATCATCTATGTTGCCATCCTAATGAAGTATGTTGAGTATCCGACCAACGAGCATAGGCCGACACGTTCGATAACACGGAATATATTATATAGCAGCGCCATATTAATGTACGGTTCCAACATGAATGTCCGATTGAAGAATGCACAAGTGCGCGTGTTAATATTCTATGCCTTGCTCTTCGTACTCGGCTTCATACTAGCCGCCTATCATTCGCCCTATCTGACAGGCTACAATATGAAACCGATATTCATGCCACCTATCAATACAATCGAGGGTCTAACGGAAGCCAACATAAAGGTATTGATCAGCTTAAGTGACTACACGGATATAAAGCAGAGCTATGTCGAGCACATACTCGCTTTGACGCATCTTTTACGTGAGTTACCATGACAAGAGTTTCAAAATTATTTGGAAAAGTTGAATCGAAGTTACGCCTATGTGATAACCGAATATCAGTGGAAATTTTTTAATCGCCAGCAACGCGTACTCATACAACCATACTTTCACTTATCGAATATCTGTTTTGGCACCGTCTTCAAAGCTATTCCAGTGCAGCGCGACGCCGTTTGGTATGATGCGCTAAATCTGTTCATTCTAATCACGCAGGAGTCAGGTCTCTGGGAGCAATGGGAGGAGCGCGCATTCTTTGCAGCTGTGAGCGCAAAATACGCAGAAATATTCACCGATACCTATCCTTTGGAGGCGTTGAATCTGCGCTACTTTTTGATTGCATGGATAGTTTTGGGCTCAGGTCTGCTGCTGAGTTGTTTTGCTTTCGCACTCGAATATTACAGTAAGAAGCGCAATAGCGTAAAGGAGGAGACGAGCTATAATCGTTTCTTGTATACGTAAAGATGGCGAAAGATTTGATGAAGATGGGCAGACAAAATATTTTATAAAATAATTATTTATGTAGAGGGCACAGCAGCAAGGCAAATGTATGTACATTAGGGTGGTCCAAAAACAGTAAAGTCGGAATTGTGATGCTCTCACCCCCTATGATCATTCTATATCGAAAAAAGCAACCCCTATTAGGGAAAAATAAATTTTTTCGTAGAAATGGTATAGAATTCTTGAAAGTCAATATTTTTCGATCGAAAAACTCTGATTCAGGAAACTTTCAATAATAATACCCAACTGTTTATTTAACCATTTTTTAATACTAACGATTTTTATTGGATTTTACGGGGTTGTTGTGGGTTTTTAACGGTCCTATAAATTATAGTTGCAATGAAAAAATGGTTAAATAAACGATTGGGTATTATTACTGAGAATCTCCTGCAGAGTTTTCTGGTAGAAAAACATTGATTTTTAACTATTCTATACCATCTCTACGAAACGTTTTTTCCCACATATGAAATAAATGGAAAACTTTGGGCGCTTTGAGCGACCTCTAAATATTTTGTTATTTCAAAATAAAAAAATAACGGTATATTTTTTTCGGTATACTTTTTCACATGTATTTTTGGACCACCCTAACGTACACATAAGTAACTAAGCACATATGTATACCCAAACCTAGCACTTAAATCCGCTATAATTTATTAACTCAATGCTTCGAAAATGCACAGGCAAGAATCAGGGTTAATAGGTGCCCTGTGCTTTCGAACGCCAGGATAAATTAACTGAGAACCCATTTTAATGCGAGGATAACTTATAGGATTTATGAGAAAGATATAAAATTAGACTAAGTCTGAAGCTGAAATAAAAAAACAAGGCTGTCTAGTTCTCCAAAAGATTGGGGAAAAGCATGTAACACGCCATGACATCAAGAAGAGGGTCCGATAGGAGTCCTTTTCGAGTTTCATACTGTGTTTAACGTTGCTGTGTTGACCATATAAATATATCAGCACCGAATAATTTTTGTCCAAGGTAGTCAGCTGTCTGGAAGATGCATATGAAATAAACATACTTTAAGAAACGAGATAATGCCGAAGACGAGCTTTCTTGGACTTAGCGATCACAAGATCTGCCATCTCGCACACTAGACTGGCCTGACTGTGGGTGGAGATATGAGAAAACAAAATATTTTACAGTGAGTGTTTCCAGTTCATCTAGCTGGAGAACAAACGAGCTTTAGCATTTCGATATGGTGGCAGAGCACGATAATGTCGGCAAGAAGCAAGTTTTTCTTCGGATTTAGATTCGAAACAATGGAAATATGATCTATTGATAATAATTCGGATTCGAATTTGGAGTTTAAGTTGGAAGTTCACACGGATATCGTGTTTATATAAGTGAAGGGGGTCCATTACCCCGACATTTCTTTGGTAGAAATAGAAATAACGAAATCACTTGAATATTTCTATTAGCGACTCCAACACGGCTGTCGACAAATGCAACCTGCTCGAACAGCATTCTGGTATAACCAATATCGGACTTCACCTGCATAGGGTATATTTTTTTTTTACTTTCTAGCCGGTAAGAATGGTATTTATTGTTTATCTTTGTGAAATGTTGTATCGATAAACTAAAATGCTTAACATAGAGGCTAATAAAAATAAAATCAAAGCATGTATTCGTCTACATACGTAAGTTGCACCCATTTAAACGTAAATGGCAATGATCGTTTGAATCGCAGAGTTATTGTTTTTGCAATGTAAGTATACTCTTCGGATAATCATGACGAAATTGTTTGGAGAAATGTGAGTCTATTGTGGTCGTTTCAACTTCCAAACATTTCAGGAATTTGCTGTAAACTGGACTACCAAATAAAGGGTGTGATCCCTAAGTTAACTTAATTGAGGTTGCAGTGGCTGCCCGCAAACCGAGCGATGAGATTCATCCTCAACAAACCGTATGACACACCAACA